AGAAGTACAGGGTTTGTATTTAGGAAATCTATTAAATAGGAGCCCATCATTTTTGGATGTAGATAAAAATTCATTGAATTTTGTGCTATAAGTAATGAAGGATGAAGCTAACTGCTAAACGACGGGAGAGGCAACCACTAAAACAGCCCATGTGGGGAAAGCACTGCAGCCGCTGCTGCAACCCAAAGTCAAAATTTAGAAATACGTATGGGGCTGGTTTTTGCATGAGAAGTGAATTAATTTCACCTTCAGGCTTCAGCTATTGATTTGAAACCAAGACTGCGTGTAGAAAAACCTGCAATGGTAACTTCGTTTTAACCTAAGGATTAAAATTAAAGCACACACTTCAACTCTTTCGACTCAACAGTTTTTACTCCAATTTGAAAATTATTTAAATTTACTTACTTCAGACCAAATCTACATGGATTTTGGAAAGGATTATAAGTCTAAATCAGCTAAGTAGGGTTTACAACTCCTACCTAAACAAGACCCTTTGCACCGTTATATAACCATTCTCATGAACAATTTAAGATACACAATCATCATAGCTCTAGCCTACTGTAATTTGAATTCATTGTTTGTAAGGTTATTGACTTCGCGTTATAGGTCCTTGGTCAGTACTACACATGTACCCTCTTACCTTTTAAGCTCTTCTTTGTTTTTCTCGATATTTTCGTACATCTACCAATCTTTGAAATCGCGCTCCCAACAATTAGTAAACATTTCAATGAGAATTAACTTTGTTCATCCAAAGTGCATACCTTTCATTGGAGTGCCATACATTTCGATTCATTCTCATTTGATTCTAGGTTCGTAATAATGTACATCTTCTTTAACTTGAAAGATAAAATTTAATCTGGTTGAGACCACCTATATTCAAAAGTTGTAGAACAAGGTGCAAATTATAATAGTACAAGGGCCATCATACATTTTAGATCCTGGTAAATCTTTTCTGGAGATATTCTCCACTAGCAGAATTTTTTGTTTTTAATTTGTTCCAAAAAAGACTGCATTTTGTTCATTATAAAAAAAACTGCATTTTTCTGGTGTTGATGGCAGACAAGCTTGCATATATCTTGGTTTGAACAAGATTGCTCGTGAGCCTTTTCTCTGTACTGCTATTGATTGGACTGGACAAAACCCAAGAAGGTAACCCCTTTTATCATCCCTGAAAATTATTGAAGCAGCCATTGAAAATCGAAATTGCAAATAAGACAGCTAATTTTCTTAGTGCTCAATTTGCTATGTTGTCTGGGGAAGCATTGTCCTAGTCAATAATTCCAGTAGGCACACACCAACATGCAAAAGAGCTTTCTGTTCTTGGTTTTTTTAACTTCTACTGGTCTATTTGGATTTACATTGGGCAAAAAGTCATGCTTATCAATCAGACCGCAGAATGGCATTGCTTTTAAACTGAACTTTTGGTGTAGGCTTTTTAGCTATGGCCAGTAAATGACAGAAGCTATATATATATGCTGTCAAGTTCTGGAAATGAGGAAAGGGAAAAAAAAACTTCCATTGTTTTGTGGGTTGGCCTGCATTTTGACAATCGACATAACCGAGGCACATGGGAGTAGGACATGCATAGCCTTAGTGGCTGTAAAGTCCATGGGCCTCAGTCTCTTTTCTTTTCCAACAGTGCATGGCTGCAAGATATGAATGGTACGTGAAATTCTTACCCTTCCTTAATTCCATGAGATATCAACTTTATCGTCCACTAATTAATATCATAACACGTGATTTAACTATATGTGATTAGCACGATAGTTACACATTTTATACATTTGATCAAATAATTCAAGATTAGCCAGGGATTTAAGTGTATAGTTAGGAATGCTGATATTTCTCCTCCAACTCTATTTTCCCACCGCCCATTGAATTTTTTTTATGAAAAAACAATCCTCTTTTGCCACCCCACTTATACCTAAAGTACCTTTTATTTATGTCAGCAGTCTTAGATGCCATTTAACCATAGTATATTTGTCATTTATATTCTCATTAAATGGTGAATGAAAAATGGAATATAGGTGGGTGAAATAACAACAATCATAATAGACGCAAGTTAGAGCAGTAAACAGATTAGATTATCATATTCGAATTGTTACGACATGGATCAAGTTAATCTATCAAGTACTAGAGTGATTTATTCCTAATTATATTTGAATTAAACAATAAAAGGATTGTGATGACAAAAATATAATTAAGCAAGTAAATTAAGAGTAAGTAAACAATGTAACAAGATGATAAACCAGTAGGACACTGATTTCACATAGCTAATCCCACTAAAATCCTTCTAACTTGTTAATCCTAATTTACCTAACATATTGATAGTCGTTTTCCCTTACCTCACCAACACTCTTTTCCAAGTTATGTTAGTCGTGTTCCTTACCGTCAACCCACTCTATTCTTAGTTATGGATTTAGATGGCTAAGAACTCATTAAGATTTATGAAAGATATTAAAGACTACACAAACCACAACCTAATCTTCCGAGTTGATAAATAAAATTAACAATTTCAAAGAATTTGAATATTCGTATCTAGGCTACATCATAGTCCTAGTAAAAAGAGATTAGTTCATTAAGGACTTATTAGGAAACATGATGATTGATAAAGACATGATAGGCATTGAATTCTTGAAGTAGAATGTTGTTGTGGCCCAAAAAATCCAAGGTTGGGCCCAAATATATTTCTAACCCAGTACGACACCTAACTTGGAAAGAAACCCAGCTTTGGTATGCAAGAGTTCGTCATATGTGCTTGCAGACGTGTCACGCCAAGTAAATAAGCAACACACCATGCTACAAGCTTAAGTGGGCATAAGCCATGCGAATGCCTGGGGCTTGCTGAACGGGTTGTGGTATGGATGGTTACGAGTTTTCATGAGGCCAATTGATGAGCCGAGAAATAGAAGTGTTGGGCTGCTTGGGTGCCCCGAAACTCAAGCTCATTTCTTGAGCCCAAATATGTGGGTAAGCATATAGGAGAGAAAATAGCTCATTACCTTAGAAAAGATAGCCTATCACTTTGGAAAGTTGGCCCATCCCTTTAGTGAACTAGCCCATTATCTTAAAGAATTGCCCAAGTGACCAACAAAATATCTGAAAGTCTCCACACATGGCTGGAGACAAAACCATGACAAAAGCCAAAAGCCACTCACATATGCAGACTATTGGGAATCTCCAGTACATGGCCAAAGACAAACCCAACACAAGCCATCAGAAAAACCAAAGGATACTTGAGCAAAACACCATTCAAACCAGTGTATATACCAATTCCTTTCCCCCCAATCAGATCTAGCCATAGAAGATGGGAGAAAATAAGAAAGAAAGATGGCTAAAAATGGGAGTCCTCTACTGGAACAGCTGCGGGAACAGCCTAGAGCTCCACAAACCCTGTTTTTGTGCGATTGGGCAGAGAAAATTTCACCAAATAGGATAAGTCAAAGGAAGAGGAGAAATGAGAGGAAAGACTTGACCAAATTGGATAGAAACTATTAGGATTTCTTGGGAAGAAAGAGCTTCCATCGCCTATAAAAAGAGGTATTTCATACCTATTATCTCAACCTACATCTAGAGAGCAAGCTTCATCTCTCATCCCCGAAACTCTGCAATTTCGAGCACCATTCCTTTATTTTCTCCTATCTTCTTTTCTCGTAAGTCATTCTAGAGCTTGACAGAGCCTTTGCCAAGCTGCTAGAAAATTACCCAAAACACCCACTACTTCACCACTAGCCACAACCACATCCAGAGAACAAGCTTGCTCTCTCACCTGCAAAACCCATCAAATTTGTGCTATATTCATCCTTTCCCCCCCCGGAACGCATAGCTTTCTCTTCAATGCTAAACTCATGACAATTTTGCTTCCATGCCACAAGCCTCTCATGTCAAGCTAAAAAATCTATCTGTAAGCTGTTGTTATTTTTGTTGGTAAAGGTAACCAAGGTGTTTCCTAAGGTTTCACTATCCTTTCGAAGTATTTTTAGGGCTTGATCTTTGAACTCAGACACATGGAATAATTTCATCAATCTGCTTTTTACGGCAGCCCATCCAATTTATAGCTGTCGAAAGAAAAAAGCCCCTACAAATGTCAAGGTTGCACAAGCTTTGTTCTTGTTCTCCTTAGGGTGTTTCAGCTATGACTATGAGTATGAATATGAAGGAATTTGATGGTGTTGGATTATATTTTTACAATAGTGTCCGAATCCCCCTATATACAGTAGTCCTAGAAATCTTACATATCTAATATATAATTACAATTATTACAAGAATAGGATTCCTACTATAATCTAGGGTTTTTTTTTAAAAAAAAAAATCTCCTTGTTTGACTTGATGAGAATTTGAACCATCTTAAACTAGGAATGACGGCATTCCCTGTGACATAAGGAATGATTTCTCATTGTTTGAAGAACCGCTAGATTTTCTTGTTGTTGTTTTGTATGAGGGATGTAACAAACAGTTTTTACAGACATGATCTTTGGGAGACAGAAGTACTGGTACTCTATTAGAGGCAATGTTCTTTCTCCTGCTTTCAGTTAAAGGGTAAGGCTATGTAGTTAGATCGACGACTAAACCTGTATGTATAAAAGAACTCATATAATCCATGATGACATAGCCCAATTTTTATACTCGTTGCTTATCCTCCTATCAATAAAATAATATCGCTTTACTCTATAAATTTAAAACAAAAACAAAAACCAATCCTCCACTAGAAATGTACACAAACAAACGAATATTAAAGCAGTGTTGAATTGTTTTGTTCATACATTTGGGCCTTGAGATTTATATGTATGGAGAAGTTGGCCCAAAGCCAATGTCGAATTCCCATTTACAGACAAGTTCATTGCCGAATCCAAAAATCCCCAATAAAACGCTTCTTCCCCTTAAATCTAGTTGCCCCAGGTGTCCTCTCTTCTCGTAGGCTCCGCCCCAATCGAGCCGTTTGAATTTCGCAGCAACAACAGCAATCAGACAAAGATTCCATTTTCAATCACAAGAATAAAATGAGCGACCACAAGACCGCAGCAGCAGCTGCAGCACCCGATCACCACCCACCATCTCAGACCACGAAGCCTCTTCCTCACTCCGAAGACTACGCTCCCTACCCTAAGCTCGACCCCAACGACGACGTGCCGACTCCCCAGCCCGAAACTTGGACCTCTGTCTCTATCGCCTCTGAACCGCCGCCGAAATTGGAATCACCGTCAGCGCCGCCGCCTCCAGTCGCCGATCCGCCGGTTCACGTCGAGGCTCGAGCGCCGATTGCCGGCGAAGCTGCCACCTCCATGCCGGTGGAGTCCAATCCCTACGTCGCCACTCCTGCTCCGGCTCCCTCCTCCTCCGTCAAGAGTGAGTATCAGTAGCCAACCAGCGCTCTCATTTTATTTCAATTATGTGTGTGTGTGTGTGTGTGTGTGTATACTTGTATATGTTAGGGTTTTGTTGAGGAAAGGATGAATTTGAGAGTGATACTGTGGAGGTTGGAAATGACTGTTTATTTGTTGTGTTATTTAGATAAGATGGATTCAGTGAAAGATGTTCTTGGAAAATGGGGAAAGAAGGCTGCGGAGGCCACCAAGAAGGCCGAGGATCTTGCTGGCAACATGTGGCAGCACTGTAAGTTTTCAATTCCAGTGAATTAAGCTGTTCCTCCGAGTGTTTTCAATTCAGTGAAAGATGTTAATTTTCCATGGTAATTGTCCTTTGCATCATTAATATTATGTATAAAGCCAATGCAATCAATTTCCATTCACAAATGCTTTGTTTAGTATGCTGTAAAACTGGGGTCTTTGTTTTTCTTAAATGATTAAGCAATTGCATGGCATTTCTATGTGGGAGCATTCTGGTTTTTGCATGGAAGAAGAATGGTGCCAATATGTGTGCTGGGAGTTGGAATTCAGAAATGCCATCAATATATGCGCTTTTAGATTGCAATGGATCTTAGAGTTATGGATTTTGCCTCTTGATTACTTTTTTCACTTACTTCTTTCTTGCCCCATTGTGATCCCATTCCTCATTTTTATGACTTTAATTACTCTGTTATTTAGTTATAGTTTCAGAGGTTGTGGTAGGAACCGTGAATCCTTGATGATTTCTGGGTTTAAAAATTAAAATCATTGCTTGATTTCATAGTAAATTCTGTGCTGTTTTATTTGTGAGACATAAATCATGTACTGCTGTTTCCCTTTTGAACTAGTGAAAACGGGACCTAGTTTTGCTGATGCTGCTGTGGCAAGAATTGCTCAGAGCACTAAGGTACTTGCAGAAGGTGGTTATGAGAAGATCTTTCGACAAAATTTTGAGACTGTCCCAGAGGAGCAACTTCAGAAGACATATGCTTGCTACCTATCCACATCTGCTGGCCCAGTAATGGGAATTTTATATTTGTCAACGGCAAAGCTTGCATTTTGTAGTGACGATCCCCTTTCATACAAAAATGGCGACCAGACTGAATGGAGCTATTATAAGGTATAGTGGATTAGTATTGTTTGCTTATTGCCATTGAACCATTTGCCACCTTCCTTGCTTGAATTATGACTTAGGAGCCATTTATGCTCGCCAATTGTGGTAGTGAAATTTGAATTTCTTTCAAAAAAATTCTGTTTTATAAATTTTACTAATCTCTTGTGTCATGTTATCAGTGCTGAACGCACAGTATTAATATTAAGGAGGTAGGTTTTAATTGAAAATAGAAATTTCACTTTACTGATGAGTGTTTAGAATGATAATAAAGCATATATTAAATTTGTTAATTCATTTGTACGTATGAAAGATACGGATACAATGATGAATATGCTAGTGATCGACCTTGTTCGTGGATCTTTCTAAGATTTTCTATGACAAGGACATTAATTTAATTCTCCATATAAGAGGGAAGCTTCGGTGATTGCACTTAACCTCAGGGGAGGTACATGTAATTTACCCTATAATCTTCAAGTTTCTTGTTATGTAGTAATTGCCTCCAGTTGTGTACTCCACTTGTAATTGCCTAATTCTTGGTTCATGAATTTTGTGGTGATTGGTGCAACCATCGATATCACCTTCTTTTGAAGGCTAAACAATTTCAAGTGGAATGACTTGGTGTTTCTTCTATTTATGATAAGTTAAGTTCCAAGAAGTGTCGACACATTTCCAAGTAGGTGTCGACCACATTTTCAACTCTTTCCCAGTGTCAGTTCAACCATGCATGTCCATGTCCCTTCATTTGTGTTATCTATATATCACTGTAAAGCCAAACCTTCTGAGTGGTGAAATCTCTTAAGCACAGAAAAACGCTCTTTGTTAATTTTACCCCTTTTTTTTTACCTTCTGGTATGGTGTTTCATACTTAAGGGGTTACAAGCAGTGAAATCAAAACTCATATATTTTCCCCATTTGAAGATCTATTGTGATCCCATTAGTCAATTTTACTTTTTTGCTTTCTTCCAATAATTTTTTTCTTTTTGATGAATTTCTTCTGATAATTTTCAATGGTCTAGAATGAGTATTTATATTTTGAAATCTCTCTATTAGCTATGGACATAATCTGGTATAATTCCCTTCTCGTATGTAGGTGGTTATTCCATTGCATCAGCTGAAGGCAGTCAATCCATCAACAAGCAAAGTCAAATCAGCTGAAAAATACATCCAGGTGGTCTCTGTTGACAACCATGAATTCTGGTTTATGAGCTTTGTACACTATGACAGTGCTGTGAAATATCTTCAAGAAGTATTGCACCCCACCCAGCCCCAGCCCCACAGCTTGTGATGAATATAGTCCAAACCTTTGCCGTGTTACAGCAGAGGCATCATGTTGGCAAGACATCTACGTAGATGAAATCGTGCGGGATATGGAATATATCAGCTAATGTGGATGTTGTATTTTCTTTTATTTGTGAAATTGCTGTGATGTATTTGTTATTAGAACCCACAGATTGTGATTTTTACTCTTCGGGTATAGTGATACATTTGGGATGAGGGAAGTTTCAGTCGAGTCTATATTTGTTGTAAATGACATTTGTGATTATATACATCGTATTTTCAGACTATCACCGTATTGTGAAAATATGGATGAAAACTTGTATATTCCTATGATTGTAGGCAAATTTCTGTAGAACTACAAGTGAGGAAGGATACTGTCAGGGATGAAGCCTATAACCATTATAGACGATACCTTGCCTTTCATATTATCTATGGAATTCGAATCCGAACCTGCTACGAAGAAATATTTTACATAAGGGAGATGATTTTGGCACTTCAGAAGTCATTTTTCACACTCTATGAGAAGTGTGTTATTTGAGATTGTCTAAATCATTACCTAATTTGGAGTCTGGTCTATGAGGTCGATTATTTGAAAGCCACTAATGGAATGACCCAGGCCTACACCTGCAAGGCTTAGACTTTGGTCAAGCTCAAGCCCGTTGCTTCGTTGGAATGAGGAGCAACCAGACAGAAACCATTAGAAAAAGGAAAAAAGAAAAAACAACCTTGACTTGACACTATCTAGAAAGCAGAGAAAAAGGAAACAGATAGTGAGTGGGTGTCTTCTCTCTAAACGCCGACAGTCACGGATTATGGAGGCATGTTACGTTGTCAGTCCAAATGAAGAAAATAAGGGGATTGGACACTGACTTGAAACACAAGCTACTTTTTGGCCCTCATATCATATGAAATGAAAATTGGGCCATTTTTATTTGGCCCCCAACGACTCACGCCCACACATTTCCTCACTAGGTTTTATATCAATCTTGTGACAAAAACTTAGGTGCAATTGGTATTTGTCTAATTGCCAAGGGATCAGTAGTAAGAGCATTTGCATGTACATTAGACGTTTTAAGTAGAGACGGAGCTAGAATTGTAAAGTTAGAGACTGAAGTAGAAAATACAAGTACATAAAACACTTAAGTATTCAATAATTATATATTTAGAGCTAAATATTTATAATTGAGTCACGTCTAATTTGTTTTGAAGGAAACTATAACTTAAATTATAAATTATTTATTACAAATTCTATATGTTTTATATAATATAATAGATGAGAGATAAAAATATGGGGGGCCAAGCCATTCTAGGCTTAGAACGTGTGAACTTATGAATTCTATTTAAAATTAGGGGTTAATAAAAATATGAGAGGGCCAAAGCCACTCCAGGCCTAAAAATTAGGTTCCAACCCCAATCATACCTCCTTTCCCCCTTCCAAATTTTGGCAAAAAAATTAAAATAATGATGTATATACATTAAACACCCAACATGTTAGCTTATGAATTCTATTTAAAATTAGAGGTTGACAAAAAAACCACAGAACCTTCAAATCAGACAGATCAAACCGATCTGAGCATTAGGTTTCTACACTAAAAACAAATGTAATCATGAACCGAATCGAACTAAAATGTAATTAGTTTGGCTTAAGTCGGTTTGATTTCGCTTAGGTAGGTGTGGTTTGGGCTATTTAGAAACTGCCTAGACCGAACCAAACCACTTATATTAATATTATCACCTTTTGGCATTTTCTTGTTGGTATTATTATATTTCATCTCACACATTGCTGTTAGGATGTTGGAGATTTAGAAATTAGAACAGTGACTGCCATGTTTGAGTCCGACACCACCCTATCCCCCATCTAACCTTCCCCCATCCTTCCAAATCCGAGGCCGGAAAAGTCATCGGTCTGTCCTCTCTCACCATCGCGATGAGAGAGTGAGAGACTTTCATGGGTGTTTAGTCGGAGGAACGTTGGCATGAGCTGATGCTGACGACAGTGGCAGCGAGCGGACCAGAAGTTTTTCTTTTCATCTTGAGCTTTTCTTGGTCTTAAAAAGGTAAAAATGGAAATGGTAAATGGGGGGGTGGGTGGGGGGGGGTAAGAATGCTGACTTCACAAACAAAATGCAATGATGCTACTCATTTATTTAAGCAGATATAATAGCTGTAATGTCAGTCCAATTTGTATTTTGTGGTCAGTTCTTTTTCCTTGGATAGAGAGAGGAACAGAGAGATAGAGCCCACCTGTTTAGAATAAAGCAGCAAGTCGATCCAACTTCACATCGTTTTTTTCCAACACCTTCAAACACTCCACTGGCTATAATTTGTGTTCTTTACGACTTTCACCGATATATATATATATATATATATATATATCTCTCTCTGCATGTTTAACGTGTTGGAAAAACTAGCTCTTCAACAAAAAACAACCTTTCGCAAACCAGGCTGCTTTTACACCAATGGTTTTCACATATATAGACAGAGAGCTGCTTTAAGCAATCGAAGGATATATATTGTTGTTAGAGCTAGCTTGTCGGGGATGTAAATTTATGGTCTAAACTAAATCATTCTCGGATTGCAAAGCTCAATAAGGCTTGTATGAAGGTGTTAAATATTAATACAAACTTGTGTGATAAAACTAGAAAACTCTAGAATAATTGAGAGAATTATCAAGTAAAAAAGATGGCCGACTCTTACTAAAACTATCTAATAATTATTTATTATAATTATAACTAGAGAAATCTATAATTAAAAGATAACTTGTGGCTGAAAATGACTTTGGATAAGTCAGTTACTGTGCAACCGACTTGTCCAAAGCAAAGTTGCCGACTTAGTATCCCTATAAATAAGCCTACAGCCTCTCAAAGTAATCAAGCTAAAAGCAGAAAAAACTAGCAGCTGTCCTATATTCCACTAAGTCCTATATCAAAGCTTTGTACCTTTTCTCCCCCATTCAAATAAAAACTACTTTGTTACTCTTTCAAAAGTTTTCCATTCCAAGTTAAGCTATTGTCCTAAACACTAAACCAACCATTCTCTAGACCTCTTCTCCCTTAAACTAACAGAAGACTACAATGTCAACACAATTTTGTATCAAAATTATATTTTCTCTACATATTATAAGAATGTCTAATCTTTTAAACTATATATGATGTATGCGTGTCGTGTCAAATACATATATCTATCCTTTTGTGGTGTCATTGTTCTGCCTTTTGACAACCAATTATTAATGATTTTAACTAAAAAAAAAAAAAAAAAAAAAAAAAAAAAAAAAAAAAAAAAAAAAAAGAATGTTTGGTCATATAAAAGTGCATTTTTTTAAGAAACACAATTTTTTACCAAAAATTATCGTCATTCTTATGATACAAGCGCTTCTAACAAAAGTAAATGGACTCTGAGGTCCACAATGTAGATCTTACTTGAGGTGGTACATATGTATATTTTAAGAACCCGCTTTTTTTTAATTGGCAATATAGTTGCGCACATTATATCATCATGTTATATTGCCATACTCTGAATATCAACTATTAAAGATACAGACCCGATTTAAACATGTTATGCCATATTAACATCTAACATTGAAAAGAGAGTAGACATGTTTCCTAACAACTGGTATTAGAACTTTAAACTCAAGTTGAATGATGAACGTAGACGACCTTGAGAAGAGAGTAGACAAGTTTTGTTGATAGACTTTGTGCTATGGAGGTCACAAATTGACGATTACGCGGTTGTTTAATTGAAGATGACCATGGGTGGTTTGGTGAACCTACAAACGTGTTGAGTGACATTGAAGAGAAGCTGAATCTCTGAAGGTTATTTTAGATGAACATATCGAGGCCTCTCATAACTGAAGAATTAATGATTCCATGGGAAAGTTATAGTCTAAACAGACCAGTCAGGATGCTCCGAGAGAAGGTGTGCTAGGAGTTGTATTGGTAATCTTGCGAACCCTAATTAGAAGTAACTATGAAAAAAAACCCCTAAGTGCTTGTAATTGTTTCTCCTTATTCTGTAGTCAGAATCTCATAGTAACTCAGTGGCATAGCTCATACGTGTGAATCTTCTTTTTGATTGGTTTACTTTTGTGTTTCTCGATCACATTTATTCATTTCACACCTGTTATTTCTAAGAGATCAGGACCGGATTCCTAACCCCCACATTTTTCAAGCTGACAAGAACACTCCAACAGAAGAACTTTGTAGTCAAACTATCTAGCAACCCATTATTTCTGGTGTTTTTGAGGTCTAAGTAGGTTGTCTTGAACTCTTGGCAGCGTGCCTGTTCATGCAACTTAATTTCCTTTCTTAATCAGCGTGAAAGAAATTAATTGGGGACTTGACATTGAATTGCTAAAATTAATCAAAGATTACTAAAAAATATCAAATTCATCCATTGATCATATGTTCCATACGCAGCTGAGCCTCGCTCGTCACAAACATCGATTAAAATTGTTCCAAGTAATTAACCAAATAATGGAAAAAAATTGTTCCAAGAGAAATGATCAACCTAAATACATATTGGCCTCCCCCAACAATTTATGGGGCATTTTCTTCAATTGACTATAATCCTAAGGACGTACTCAAGTACTTCTTAAACCCTTTTCCAGGTTTATGGCTCAGAACACTACAAAAGGCATTTTTGGTGACTAAAGCCTTTAATCACCAAATGTCATCAAATAATGGTAACTGTTGTCACTTTTTTTTTAGTGGAAGAACGTTAAATTATCAGAGCACACCAAAAGATGAACACAGAGTTCCCCGTATAGTCCAAATTAGTGCATATGTAAAACAAGAAATTTTGATAATTAACTGCATTAATATGAAATTAACTTCTCATTATTTAAATTGTTTATAAATAAAAAAAACAATAAATGTAAATATAACACCAAAGTAAAAGAAGAAATAAACCAGCATAAGAAGATGAAACACAAGCTGAATGGATTAAGAAAACAAGAGCAACCTAACTAGTTTCATAATTCAATATACGTGTTATCATTTGTGTAAACGAGAGCAGTCTGATTAATTTTAAAATCCAATATACGTGTTATCATTTGTGTAAACGAGAGCAGTTTGACTAATTTCAAAATTCAATATACGTGTTATAATTTGTGTGAACTTACAGCGCAATATCGGCATGCATGCTACGTGTCGTTAACGCATGCATAATGCTTTTCGAGAAAGAAAAAAAATCCAAAAAAATATTTTCCTAATAAAGAAAAGAACAAATTTATTAAACCAATCCAGTACACCCCGCTGTAAATAGATGCTCTCATCTGATGAGATCACATGTGTCCGTTAAGCTCAAAAATCGGTGAATTTGATCAGCTTCTTCAGTTTCATGCTGGATGTGTCCAGAGATTAATGCAATATGGAGGTTGAGCCAAATTAATATGAGAGAGAAAAGATAAAGAGAGAGTAAAGCTAAGGCGGTGATCATGGAAGCAAATAAGGATAAGATGACAAATGTGGATGAACGTCCAAAACACAAAACTCAGAACTAATCCAAAAGAAATTAATAAACAATACAAAAATAGCAGGTTTCAGGTTTGCTTTGCATGCCAAAAATTACAGGTTTCGATTGGAGTTTTTGGAATTCTCTGCTTCCTTGGTAATGCGAACTAATCACAACCCAATTTAGGTTATCTTAGCATAATTAAGCTTACCCTTTATGTTGGTTTTCCTTTTTGTTTCACCATAAGAAGAAAAGGAGAAAAGGAGAAAAGTTACACTTCCATGGAATAAAATGGCCGAGCTGTTTTGGGTTTTTAGGGCAATGCGCAACAAAGAAAGAAGATGCTTAACCAAAATTCCCAATTAAGAACACCATGATTAACCTTAAGATTAGAACCAGAGCCAGAGATTAATTAGCAAAAACACTGAAGAAGAAGATTTAATTAATTAAAAGTTTAGAACCTGGCGATGAAACCCTAGCTAAGCTAGCTACTAAAATTACCATGAATTAACACTAAATTAAGGAAAACCATTCACACAATAAATTTGCAAGGAGGCCCTCTTTCTTACGTACATGCATGAATGGGTGATGATAATCTAACTGGGTAAACTCAACATACACTGCAACACTCTTCTGAGCTAGCTAGGTAGCTAGCTAAGCTAGCTAATTAGCTATTAAATGAAATTAAAATGGTTAATCAATTAACTTAAGGCCCTAATTTCTTACCGAGGGTGTGCTTGTTGTTGTGCATCCAAACCTTGAGAACCTGTCGCTTCACTCCAGTCTCTCCACAAAACTCCTCCACCGCTGCCTCGTCATGCTTCTGAATCCTCCACCCAACTTTCTCCGCAAACTCCAGCATCTTTTCCTTCTGCTCCTGCGTGAACTTGGTCCGGTGCCTCTTCTTATTTATCCCAAATCCTCCCCCTCCTCCACCGCCACCGCCACTCGAGCTGGGGTTTGAGACATCCTCACCATCCTCCCTGCTATGAGACCCACCGCCACCGCCTGATGCCGCAGGCAAGGTCATAGTGGGCCTTGCGTGCGGAGAGGTGATCAGGTAGCCAGATGGCGGTGGTGGTGGGCGATAGAAGCCCGAAGAAAATTGGTGCTGGAGGAGGTGGTGGTGGGACCCACCGCTCTGGTGGTAGGGCCCCGTAGTACCACCCTGGTGGTGATGAATCAGCTCGCCCTCGGGCTCCTTGCGGTGGAAGTTGCGATGGCAGTTGCAGGCGGCGCATATGAGCGCGTCCATTGTTCCCTCGTCCCCGGCAGCCAGGAACTCGCAGCAGCCATCGACGGCGTGACCACCGATGCTGACGGCGTGATTCTTGAGGCATTCTCTGTATCTGACCATGGTGGTGAGGGTGGTGGTGGTGTTGGTGATTGCCGCGGTGGCGGTGGGCCCCCTCTTTCTTGCGGTGGAGACGGTGCCCTCACGGGCGGGCCCCATTTTGGCCCTGGAACTCGCCGCAGCCGAGTCGTAACCTGGGGGCGCCGCATCTCCATCTCCTCCTCGTGCTCTTCGTGCTCCTCAAATTCCATTCAGTCTCTCTCACTCTCTTCTCTTCTCTCTCTCTCTCTCCTCTCTCTCTCTCTCTCTCTCTCTCTCTCTCTCTCTCTCTCTGTGTCTCTCTCGATTTCTTTGATTGTTTGGTGAGGAAATGAAGAGGTGAAGATCTACATGGTTGATGAAGAGCCCAAGAAACGGATTATGAAGACGATCAACAGCAAAAAGCTTCTTCCACTGGAGATGGACATTTGTAAATGACTAAGTGCTAAATGTTTGTTTGTATTACATCCAAGTGTTGGTTTGTGTTGTGTAATAGTAATATTTAAATCTTAAACTGTTAATTTTTATTTTTATTTTTTTGTTTTTTTTGTTTGTTTTGAAATGGGTAATACTTTTTTAATTTTTAAAGTTTCTCAGGGAGGAGAAGATAAGAGAGGGGTGGAGAATTGTGGCCATCAATTCCCCTCTGTGCATATCTTACTCTAAACCTCTCTCTTTCATTTACTTCAATTTTTTTTCATTTTTTTTTAATCCCTAATACTTAACTAGGGTTAATTTTTGAAATCCCTACTCGTTTTGGTGCTTTGCTTCTAACTTTCTTCTTGGCATTTCTTGCTAATTGCATAATGGCATGCACTTTGGTTCTTTTTTCTTGTTTTCCTTTTATGTGGAAACACTACTTTGTTGTGTTTTGTTTCCTTTTTTCTTTGTGGTAAAAGTGAGATTGGGAATCATTTTCTCAGTAATAGCATGAAAGTAGAAAAGGGAAATGGCAGAGAAAGAGGAAAACCACTTGCCCCAAAAAAATGACATAGTACTAGAAGGGATGATGTTTAGTAAATGGTAGACCTGCTACCCTGTATCTAAAGCTACTCAAATCGCACCACAGTACAATTTTAAAAGATTTCCTAAAACGAGTATTTTCGGGTAACGACATTTAATCTTCATTTTATTACTAGGGATTCAGAATTTAAATCACATGAATAAGAGTTTGTTGTATTGTTGAATAGTTAAAAGAAAATAGAAAATGCACAATTAGGTAGCTTTGAAGAAGCACAGATTAACTTTGATTCACCAAATTTGAACTCAACCAAATTTCTGCATATAATTCGAATTCGAGTTTAGTTTATTTGAAGCCGGTCAAATTCAAATTTTATCTTAAATTCGAATTGAGTATATCGAGTTACCCTCTCGATCTTACCCTACGGACCACTCGCTAGTAGGTAAACGAAAAATATGCATATCAAACAAGGGAGATTGTTTGGGGACAAATTGATGAGTAGGAGTGATGAGGGCAAATCAAATAAGCGATCCAGGCTGGATGGGGATCAAGAGGTGGGGTTGATATATGCTTCAAGAACTGGCAACACAGGTGAGGTAGCTCATGAGGACACTGATTTTAAACTGTCGGCATTTTTGGGAGCTGCCTACGTGCCCTCCATTTTCAGACATCATGTGTGAGTGTGTGTCTATGTGACGTCTTCTACCCTCAACAACTTTCAAATCAATGGGTTTCAGGATATTCTATCTCAACTTCTCATGGACTTGTTTTCACAGTACCATATACCATATACTCGACCTGGACGCCATCTCATCTTCATCCAACTTTCGTTTAAGTGCCATTACTTTTTTGCCATTTAATTGGGAATTTTAAAAGATTTATTTTTCTTTGATGACCTTTTTTATTGAGAGTGAACGATAATATACCAAACTCACACACACTAACCACACATATCCTAGGACTCGAACTCAAAACTTTGCTTGTTCATCAATCATATATATGTGGCCATTGATGATTAGCTAGTATAAACCTTGTCATCGTCGAATATCAAATATCATATGTATGTGGCCATTTATCTTTCTAAGCCATTGTTTGTGTTTTAGTTCTCCGGTCATACATCTATGAAAAAGTCAATAAAATCGGAAATTATTTATCAATTTGAGTAACAATTATAATCATTTCAATATTTATGGTAAACACTATATCAGTATACATGCTTGATCAAAATTACATAATGTTATGGCTTTCAAATTAACTAATTTTCCGAAAGGCTGATCTTCAAATTGAGACGATTTAAGGATTCGGGTCATTGGACCACATGTTAAAAATGAAATAAATTATCATATAAATTTGAAATGATTTTGATGGTAATTACCTAGCTAAACTATTTCTGATTTGACTGATTTTTTGGATAAATAATCATTCAAGAGAACCTAAAAAATAGGCGCTTTCGATGATTGAACCGCAAACCATGTGCAATAACTTCCAATAATCCTTCATACTCATAAGATTTCCCTTGGAGAACACAAATTAATTCATCGTATTGTATATTGGTTTTCTCTTCTCTGTCTTCAACTTACTTAATAATTGTGTATGTTTGAGTCTAAGCAGTGTCAAAATCATGTTATATATGAAGTGATTTCTCACAACTATGTAGTAGTAGTGGATGGATTAAATTAAACCATGCCATGATGATGCCATTACAAGGATAAGGAAGAAGCAACTAACTTTAGAGTGTGGATGGATTGGATTGGATTGGGTTCTGCAGGATTGGACTCGTCAACTGGCCGTTACACACTCACCCTCAGCATGGAGCATTGGAGTGTGGAGGACTGATATGTTGGGTTGATGTGGACTTGTCTGCTAGAGTGGGCTCCTTCTGCTCTCTACTGGTAGTTTCACACGTGACAGAGATCTTCAGGTCCACACACACACATGAGAGAGTCTAAAGAAAAAGGGAAAAATAGCAACAGATTTGTACAACAAGCACTGTAAATTTGGCCTAAGGTAGATGAGTTTTTAGTGAATTGTTAAATCGTGTAATTAACGGTCCAGTGAATGTTGTCGGATATAGAATATAGAAGAAATTACCGTTGGATTAGCAAGTGTACATGTATCGGATATTTATGTCTTAAGACGTGTATGAGCAAAAGAGTGGTGCATTTTTTATTTTTTTTTGAAATACAAGTGATTGTCTAAACTAAAAGGGGGAAGGGGTTTCAAACACACACGCACACAATTAAGGTGACATGAAGGTTCGAACTTAAGACTACTGGTTTGCAAATCTAGATCCTTTTTCACTTGCTAGAGACCATGTTATTAGCTCCTAACTTTTTTTTAATGTGCATATAAAAGTGAAAATGGATTCTAAAATTCAGTACTAAAATTGGCCTACAAAATAATAGCGAACATTAAATAAACTAGGGTGTCCAAATTTCACTAAAGATTTGTGTACGGAGGAAATGATGCTGAGAATAATATAAGTAGAGCTCAATTTTGTGTGATGCCCTATGTTTTTGTGTTAATTAATGACGCAATCAAACTGATTTAAATTTTAAGTTCTCCTTTTTTGTTTTATTTTGAAAGTTGATGTCATCCAAACGTCATGTGATTCCCTACCTTACCCTCGAATGCCAAAACCAAAGCCAGCTTGCTTGCTACATGCTAGGCTACTTGCAAATTGCTAATTTGGTTGTGCTTATCTGACGCAAAGCCTGTCAGCCACCAGGAAACACCCTCCCACTTCTTTGAACCACTTTTCAACTTTAAGACACTCAACATAAAGAGAGCTTTTGTGTGTGTGTGTGTGTGTTTGGGGTTTATTGGTTACAGTAGTGTTGATAGGAAGGGCCAGACTCACATAATTAGTACTCAAAAACATTGGTGGAATATGTGTGCCATGGAGAATGGTAGGGTTAACCGCGGTGCTTGTACTCGTGATTGGTTTTTAGTCGTTGATGTGTGTGAATTTTATTTTGTAGAATGTATGTTACTTAAAAAGAAAGATATACTTTACAACATTCATTATGCGATGAATGTTAGATATATCCTGATAACACAACAAGATCACTTAATGAATGCTATAGACAGAATGAGATACACCTCGATGACGCATCAAATTCTCTCATTTATGCTTTGTTGTTTTTTGTTTTTTGGGTCTGAATTGCGCCAAAGCCGCCAGCAAAAACAACACAGAACTACAAGCAAGATGCAGGCAAACTAGAATCAAGCCCACAACCAAAAAGAACTAAACTAATGACTGATGGGTGAGCTCCGCCGGAGGACAAGGAAGGCCATCAGAAACCAATGGAGCAATGGTCCGTTAACTTGATTTTCCGTTGCGTTTCAGAAATATAATTGGGTCGGGGATTTCGGGTAGATGTAGATTCTTTTTGATGTTTGTGTAAATTATATTCGTGAGTGAGTGAGTGAGATTTGATATGAGGGATGAAAGCGGGGAGAAATAGAGCAGCAGCAGGGAAATGAAAGGGACCACAAGGACAGTGACAATGACAAGATAGAGAAAAAGTAGTGGACGGGTTTGGGGCTTTCTGACCCCCGACCCTTCATTTCCTACATTTCCATCCTTTCTTCTGGCAGCCTTTTCCATGTTTTGCTTCATAATCCAAACATTGCTATCTTTACCATTCCTATTTCATTATTAAACCTCTCTCTCTCTCTCTACTGTCCACTGACGCCCTCTCTCTCTGTGGTGGCCCTCCCTCCAGCAACCATTTTAATTCTAAGAGAGTAGCTTCTCCTAACCAAACCAGTCCTTTCATTACAAATTCACTCCAAGTCTTCTATGCAAATGATCCCAACTAACACAACAACTAACAGAGCATGTGCTACCAGAAGAAAAAAAAACACTGACATTACATGTGTCTCCAAATGATGCATTTTGTGTTCTATGTACGCGAGGAGAGGGAGTGAAAGAAGAAGAATTATGGGCATAGATTAGCTTCATGCATAAGTGGCGAGCCCACTGTCTATCCAATCCCTACCTTATTGGGCTTTTCTATTGTGTTCTTCCCTTAGAAATTGTTTCATATTTTTATGAAAGTAAACATTTGTGCCCTTTAAGGATTTGGGTTTAGCCCAAAAAGCCTTTGGGTGAGTTAAGAGTTCAAGTTGGGCCTTCATTGATTGAAGTGTTTACAATGCCGTTTGGATTACGCATTGCACCGGAGATCATTTCATCTTATTTTGCCATGTTCAATAAATGCTTCATACTTCATATTTCTGTGCATACATTCAACGTAAGCATCAAACTCACGGGAAACAAACACCAAGCCATGTGTGATGATGGGGATGCATCCCTAACACAGATAAAGAAATTAATGCCGTGGGACAGTATTCAAGATGGTGACAGGGCTTTAGATGCACCCTTCTAGTAAAAAAAACCGAACTCATCCGACACTTGTATAATCTCAATTAACTCTTTGTTTAATGGTATTTTTTTTCCTACTTAATATTGAAAAAAGTCTTAAGTTCGAATCCCTTATACTTATTATGAGAAAAATTACTTATTATGAGAAAAATAATTGATGAGCTTATCACTCATATATAGGTCGTGGGAGAAATATAGTGGCTGACGGATAATGTCTGAATGTGAGGCTTTCATTAGCTGTGTGATAAAACATATGTCAAATGAGTACTACCTTTAGTTAATTATCTTTAGAACCTACATGTTCTATTATCCAGAAACCACATTTTTTTCTTTTTTCCATGAACCTTCTAGCTGACATTGACCTACAGGCAATGCAATGATGCAAGCTTGAGCAGGAACCACATTTCACATTTGGTTAGATAACCATACGAAAACGAAAACAGAAAAAAGCCAAAGAGCAATTGCCAATTTGCATTAATAAGTATCCAACACGGTAGAAGAAGCATTGATTGCAATCAAACCCAACTGACAGACAGAATCTTAAAGGTGGTCACTGCATTAAAATGTTTTTGGAATTCAGCCCGACCGCAGTAAACCGTGGACCATCAACCATCCACCATTTGTTAAGTAGAAGACTGAGCATATAAATGGATGACAGCAGCCACAAATCGGGAAGCTTTCAAGTGTTTGCACCCTATTATATATTATTTTCTCGGTTTTCCGTTTCTAGGAGCTGACCTAACTTTCCTACTAATCAGTCTTTTTGGTTTTTAAGAAATGTCGACTCATTGATATATACAATGGGATATCTGTCGGGTTTGTACGTTTGTATGTAAAATTTATAAAACGTATTTTTGAAAGGGAAAATTAAATTACTCGGTTGGACTATTAAGGATTGTTGGTATGAAATTTATGTTTGCATTTTCTAAACACATAATAGGTTTGGAAGTGTCATTTAGATGTAGGGTTGAAGCAAATATGCTGTCTTTGATTTCCAAAAATAGCTCAGCAAGTTCCCGAATTCCAGAACTGTGACTTAATACGTGTGAGGCATTTGATCCAACGATAAGACATTTCATTTTTCATGCACTCATGCTAGGAACATATTTTTCAAGTCTGATATGATTTTATTCCATTAATCTTCTATGATTTAGGTCAATTAGAATCCCTTTAGGAGTGCAATCTTATTGAGGCATTTTTTTCAATATCTTTTATTTCTTTCATTAATAAATCATGATTTATCTTTTAAGTAAAATAATCCTTACTTGTTTGTTCTTTTTATTTTCCAGTACATTATTAATCATGTTAACGTGATTTATTTGTGTTTGTTCCTTATAATTTTTTATTAGCCTATTCACCCCTCTCCACGCGTTTCTTAGCTATCCTACAAGTATTTTCAGGGATTCATTAATATGAAATTGTTGATGAAAAGATAAATAAAAAAATGCATGAATTTCAAGTGAATCACTATATTTAGTCATTTTAAATTCAAAATGTTACATTGTATATAGTTATTCTAAATTTATATAAAATACTAGGGGTGGTTGCGGTTCGGTAACCGCGAATTTTTACTCAAACCGTAAACCGACCGACTATTTGCGGTTTGGTGATTTTTGAAACCGCAAAATGCAGTCGGTTACCGCGAATTAGCGGTTTAAAACCGCAAGTTCTCAAGCATTCACAAAAATATAAATTCACAACCTAAATAAATAAATACACAACATTAATTTCTCAAGCATATATAAATTCACAATCTCCTCAACTTCTCAAACATTCACAACTTAAGAAAATTAAAGTTATAATTCCAAGCATTCCAATTAAAGTTAAACTTATCAAGCATTCCAATTCCAAATCCTTTAAAGTTACAAATCAAAAGGAAAATACAAAGCAAAATGAATTAAAGTTACAACAAAAAAGAAAAATCCAATTCAAAGTTAATTAAAGTTACAAATTAAAATGAAAATGCAATTCACCAATGTTACAAACTAAAGTTACAAACTCAAGTGTTGGTGGTGAGTGGATTTGAAGAACCCCGTTATGTTGTTTGAGTACCAATGTTATCTACAAATAAAACAACATAGTTTAGTACATTTTATTATAAGGAGAAGCATAAATAAACTAATTACTTACAAGTTGTCATATGTTTCATTTCCTTGTAGAATTAAACATCATCATCCGTACTGCGGCTATACTTTTCAGTTTGCGGTAACCGCAAGTTTTGAAAATCAAATACCGCAACCGCAACCGCAAATGCGGTTCGGTTCTTAATACCGCAAATGCGGTTCAATTTACCGCGATTGCGGTTTCATTGCGGTAAATTATCGGTTAGTTTTTGCGGTTTTTTCGGTTTTTTTCGGTTTAAAATGCCACCCCTATAAAATACATTGTGTCTAGGGTTCAAACATTGTCAAAAATTAGTGGTTTAAAAGCACTTTCGGTTGTCAAATTATATATTAAAATCTTCTAGAAGCAGTCTCAAATATGCCCTAAACCTTGCATAGTTTTCACTCCTTAAATAGAAGTTGACACAACCAACAACCAACACATTTAAGTTAACCTAATACCTATATTCTTCATATAGATAGTTTTGCAACTAGAAATCAATACCATTTGTGCTTTGACTTGTGAGGGTTGCTATATATGCATGGACAATGTTAGTTTGGATCGCATTGCAAATTTAGTGTACTAGCCATAGCATCAATCTTGATCAATTTGAGCTTTTTACATCTATTTATTGGCATTTGAAGTTTCTGAAGTGGTGAATTGGATAAAGAAAAATGCATTCAGATAACCATCTCCAAAATGGTTATTAAAAAAAACAAAGAGAATCACTTTGATCAAATTCAACCTACAATGCCATACAAACATATAACAATTTTCTTTGTGGGTCAGAATCAAAATAGAAACATTGTTTATGTGGGTGACCAATATGAACTTGCCCCAAAAAACTTAAAAATATTTAATTCTACAACATTCCAATCCCCAACAAAATAATCCAAATCCCACTTCCTAATCATCTAATTAACCACTTTGTTACATAGAAACCAGAGGTTTCTGAAGCATCTTCCTCTCAGATTTCTCTTCACCCTCCAAACTAATCACCCACTTGGACATATCCAACTCCACCGAATCAACTTCCCTCCCTCCAAACTCAAACACAAATCCTCTTTTTTGATACCGCACGATCCTTGGACTATTCAACACCCCCGTTGACCTCGACTTGTTCAGCCTCACCACCGAAGGCACCTTCACCGCTACCCCTGCACCCTTCCGCACCTGATTATTCCCGCCCCACGCCTTAATCTCATTCACCGACCCAATTGACTTTGATTTCGCCACGCGTCGATCAATCATCGCCTCGCCCTCACCCTCGCAATCTGTGCCCAACACACTCGATACCTTCCCGTTCAGCTTCCTCCTGCTCCCTCCTCTCACAAACTTCGCATTTCCAACCTCTTCGTATTCGCGACTTTCACCACGACGATGCTGATGCTTCCCGTTCTCCACGCGCTTCATGTTCACGCGCCGCTTCAGGCTACTCCAAATGGGCGGCGCGTGGATTCTTTTGATCACCACCTTCAGACACTCGACGACCTCGGCCATCGTCGGCCGCTTCTCCGCCGTGGATCTCACGCACTTCGCGGCCAATACCGCCACGTGGCGGATCACGGCGGGGTCAGCCGGAGGTCCGATTCTCTGGTCGCAGATTCCGGCGAAGTCCACGCGCTTTATGATTGGCACGGCCCAGTCCACCACTGACGGCGGGCTGTAGTTCACGTCAATGGCGTTTCTCCCGCTCAAAATCTCCAGCAAGAGAATTCCGAAGCTGAAGACGTCGCTCTTGGCGCTCAGATCCCCCGGCGCAAGATAGCCCGGGTCGAGGTACCCTAACGTCCCCGCCGGTGGCGTGCACTTTATGCGAACGTCCTCCACGTGTCCCCTCAGCGCCAACCCTAAGTCACCGAGCCTCGCGTTCCAGTCCTTGTCGATCAAAACGTTGGACGATTTGATGTCGCGGTGGATGACGGGCGGGCTGGACGAGTGGAGCGCCTGAACCGCTTTTGCCACGTGTAACCCGAACCGGATCCTCCGGGTCCAACCGGGCGGTCTGGAGTTCAAGTGGAGGAGGTCGTAGAGAGAGCCGTTGGGCATGTACTCGACGACGATCAATTTAGTGTCGTTTGCCGAATTGGAGCAGAACCCGATGAGATTTACGAGCCTGGGGTGGTGAACTCTGGAGAGAATCTCGATCTCGTTCTCCGCGTTGTGAAGGCTCGCCGACGACGACGTTGTTTGGGAGGATTTGGTTTTTTTAACCGCGGCGACTAGACTACCGCCGTCGAGAACGGCCTTGTAGACGCTGCCGTGGCTTCCTTTGCCCAGAAAACTCTCGGCGGCGAAGCCATTTGTTGCGGCGACGAGGTCGTCGTAGTGAAAGTGCCTGATCTTGATCGGCTTGTTATTGGGTTTGGTTTTGGGTTTTCTTCTGCGGTCCCAGTTGTACGGATCGCAGGTTGCGATCGCCGACTCTGCATTGCAAGAGAGGTAGCCCATTGAGCTTAGTTTCTCAGTGTCAATTAATCGAACACCGAAGAGGCAAGGAGAGCTGGTCTTGGGTGGTCGATTCTGTGGTGGGTTCTTCGAGATGGTGAGAGTGAAGAGAGAGAGATTGAGATTGAAAGGAAAAAGGAGGAGTTAAAGGAAAAGGTGGTAGGGGGAGGTGGTGGTGGAGAGCCGCAAAAGCCATTAGTGCAAAAGAGAGAATGGGGGTTGGTTTTTTTGGGTGCTTAAAGTCTTCTTCAGTGGTGAGGTAATGTGTTTTACAGCTTTTATTTTTGTGGTAAAGAAAGGGAAGATGTGAAAACAATCAAAGGTGGTTGCAAAATTTTGAACTTTGGCAAAAGTGGGGCCAAAGTTGGGTTTGAAAAAATTCATTTTAAAATTATTATTTTATTGTTTTTTACATGCAGAAGAGTGCAACTTTGATAGGCATTTCTTGGGGCTATACTACTACAATAGTACAGTTATATAATATATTTTATACGCGTGTTATAATATGAATATACAATAGTGTTTATTTTTTTTATTTTTTTTTATAAATAATATCTATAAATATCCATTTATATTATAACATATATACAAGATATGTCCCAAACTACAATAGCATTCTATAATCTCTCATCATCATGGTTGTCCCACTTTGAAAATCATCAACTTTTATTCAGAGAACCCTCATCATGAATTGGAATTGGTTTTGTAATTAAGTAATTAACAGATACAATCAAGGAATATATCATTGACTGATAACCCACGAAAGTTGAAAGTTGAAACGAATGCAGCCAAATGCCATCATTTCATTTGAGCATCTTTGTAATTAATGAATTTTGTTGGTGGCATTCTTTGGTTTTGTTTGATAGCATATATTATTATAGGCAGGCAGTGACGGATTGTTTTGGAGCTTACTGGGACATAAAAAAATAAACTTCCAAATATATGTGTTCCGATAGATGGCACAAGTGGACCCAGATTTTTTGTTGGGCAGGATCGGTGAGACAAAGCTCACATTGTAATAAATTTTTCTTTACATTTGCATCGTCATGTATACGAGTGAGTGAGTGAGTGTGTAGTAGGTAAAGGGCTGGCGGTGACAAAACGATAGTACAAGGTAGGTTTTTAGGGTTGGGACATGTGCTTTACGTGCACAATTTATGTCAGAGTAGGTAATCAATAACGTAATTCATGGGACAAAGGAGAAAAAAAGTGAAGCAACTTCTATTCTCAGCCACCTATTGGGGACGCCGGTGCCCCGTCACCAAGGCGTGCAATTGAAGAAAACTTGCCTATGACATGTATCTCCGTTCTTTAGTCGATGAGAGATATAGAAAGAAAGGTTTTTTTAGGAGTTACGGTTCCTGAATTTTGTATCTCCGTGCTTTCACAATCCCTCAACTCTACTTTCTTTTGTAACAAAAGTCCTGAAATAACTTATGTTACTTTTTCCGTCAAAATGAGGGACAAATTGGTCACTTTAAGTGTTTAGGTAAAAAAACAGCAGCCCAGCCACCTCCAGCCATAAACCCACCCCAAATTGCACGACCCTCCTCTCCCTCCCCTCTCTGTCTCTTTCTCTTTGATAGGATTGTTACCTATGATACCTCACCCAAATCGCCATCGAAGTTGAGAGAGGGAAAGCCAAAATTGAACGACAAAAGATAGAGAAACTCCTAATCCTATGAGAGAAGAAGACGAAGAGCAGAGAGGGTTGGGGAGTTGAGTTTACCTTTTTCTATTGTTTAATTTTTAAATTTAAATTAATTTAGAAAACAAAAAAATGACTAAACATTTAAAAGGACCAACCCCTCATTTTGACTTTTAAAAGTAAAAGAAGTTACTCCATGACTTTTGTTACAAATGAAAGTGGAAGCCATTTTGAAAGTTGAAGTACTAAAGCTTAAGTGGGTACAAAATTCAGGTGCCATAGCTCCTAAAAACCCTAGAAAGAAATGGTGTATACATTTGTTTTATGTAAGTTTTCTCGCCATTGGTCAAGTGAAAGATGTTATATGTGACTTCAGATAATAGTAAGTCAAATGCCCAAATGGTGAAGTTGAGTTCTACTAGTTTTGCAATTTCGTTAATGATCAGATTAAATGCCTTGTAATTTCCTTGTTCTTTTTTAGAAAGAATCTCGAAAGTAATAGTAACTACTTGAATTACAAATTATTATAAAAAATATTTATCACTAAGTAAAAACTCCCCAATAATGAATTGTCCTTTCATGGTGGATCAATGTTTATAAATTCCTTCATTGATAGTAATGATATAATTTCACCACAAAATAAAACAGAAAAATAACTGAAATGAACTTGTGGCTCAAGTAATTAAAAGCATTTATCCTTACACTTGTGCTCTTAAGTTCGACTCTCACTTTTTATCATCGCTTGTATGGAAAAAACAATCGACCTCCCTTTTGATAAGGAACTTGGGCGCACTGATTAGAAATTGATTGGATCTTTTTATACAAAGCGTAGATAAGAACAAAAGAGAAACAGAGAAACATAGGCGTGATTGAGAGGCATGATGTGGTTGGCTTTAACGGCACTCCAAAACGTGGAGTTAAATACTTTGAGTTTGGGACTTGGGCTGCGTTTTGACCCCGAAGCCTTTTGAACTTCACAACCTAAGAGCAACAGTAAGTTGGACTTCCACTTCAAGACAACCAAACATGGGGAGCATTTGATTTGATTTGATTTTTATTTTTCTATTCTGGACGATTTGATGGTGGGGGCCATGACATGCATGGTAGACCAAATGGAAAATGCCATGCCATTATTTTCTTTAACTTCATCTTATCCCACTTCAACTTAGTCACACTTATAAATCATGATTTTATCTTCACTAAGATTTGCCTCCCAATAATGTTCAAATGATTTGTGAGTTTTTTTATCTTATCTTATCAAAACTTAGCAGGTGTCAACTTGTAAATCTACCTAAGAAAGCAAACAAATGAATAGCCAAAAATAAAGTAAAACAAATTGAAATTCAAAAGCAAAAATAGGATCATTCCTGAAATTCAAAAGTAAAGGACTAGCTATATTCCCATTTATCCCTTCTCCTCCTCCTCCTACTTTCTTTTATTTTGCGAAATATGGTTTGATAATCAAAATTGTCTATCTTTGTCGAAAATCAACCAAAGAAAAAAATAATTGAGTATTAACTTTAACAAATATGACCTCGAAAATGAGCGCTTAGTTAAATGATTTTTAATTTCTTTAATTTTTTTGCATGAAAAGATTAACTCGAAAATGAGCAGTTTTGATTATCATACACTTGAAACTCTTGTCCTTGAGCCAAGAAGAATAATAGACACACAAGATGGTGGTCACATTATGGCTGAAATTATAATTCAACGTAGATATCGGTTGGACGAATTTAATTAGACCATAAAGCAGTTAAAGAATTCAATTGTATGATGGCCCATGCTTATTACAAAACTCAGCGTGGCTGCACTGAAGACCGTCAGATGCTCAAGCTGTTATTCAATTTCATTGATGATGTTAAGGGGTGTCTTTTTCAATTTCAAAGGATTCCTATTGCTTATATTCCTAGATGTTGTAACGTGGCAGCTTATAAATTAGCTAATAATGCATTCGAGTGTCACGATACTGTTATTCGGGATGAAGATGTTCCTCTCTGGATAGAATTCTTTGCAGAAAACGATGTGATTAGTTTGTACCCCTTGATTTCAAATTTCAATCAATGATGTTCTTATTTCTGCTTTTATTAAAATAAAATAAAAAGACCATCAGATTCCATCCGTTGGTTTGGGTAAATAGTGGAAAGAATTTTTCCCAACCTGAGTGGTCATTGTAGGAAGAAGATATGTTTATGAGACATAAATTAAGTTGGTCAACTGTCACACTGACAATGCTATAAGGAATATATCAAACACCTTTAAAAAAGAAAAAAACACAAAAAATGTGGAGCCCTTAGAAGTCTAATACAAAATGGCTGATGGCTAGTTATGTGGCCCATTTTGCAATCATGGACCAATGGTTTCAGGGCCTCATGTGTCGCAAAAGATGGAGACTGGAATCGATGAACGAAATTAGACTCTCAATCAATACCCATTCCCCAATCTCCATTGTCCAGTTGGTACATGTAATGTGTATGTGCAATTTAGGATGATAGATCATGTCACATGATAATACAACACACACCAAAAATTCTCCCAACACTCTTAAAAGTCGACCCTACATGAACCTTACACGATCTTATAGTATTACGGGACTTACATCACGTGAGAGAATTAAGATAAAAGCCGATGAACGTTTCTTGAGTCTCTAGTACTTTTGATGCACATTATTAAGTGGCATCTTCAAAGAAGAGTTTTGCAGATTGAATATTGTGGGCCTTTATTGACCAAGAGCAAGGGTCGCCTAGCTATAGTACATTTAAGGAGTAGTATGCAGCCCAAAAGTCTGTAACGCAAATTATCCATGTCATTTCTTTTGACAAGTCTCATAATTGTCATCATGAAAACACGTGTGAATTAGCTATTAGTTTCATCATATTGACAACATAGTGGTATGGAAATTTGCACATGATCATGATGATGAAAATTGTTTCAAGGTGCCATGCCAAGGGGATACATAACACATTATCAATAGGACCGCATTATGGAAAATGGTCAATATAGTTGGGGTAACATTCCACTAACGTCCATATAATTGTCTCGTAGTAGTTGCAATTACATTCTGTTAATTTGGTTGATGAAAAGAACACGGTGCGTTTGAGTGAAGGTTATAGATGTTCTCATTCTTTTTAGCTTGCAACTCACCATTTAGTTTTAGATTAAAAACACTTTGTTTCTTTGGGTAAGAGTTATAATTCAGATATGGAGTTTGTGTTTCTCTGACTATTGACTTCATCCACCAGATAATTATAAACCATGCCTTTTTCCAAGTCAACTTATTCCAATATTTTTAACCTATCTCTTTGAGGATTATACACACACACACAAAACTAATTACATATTCTTTTACAACGTGCTAGCATTCTGATCTTTCTCCATGGAATCTGTCAAGCTTTCCAATTAAATCCAGAGAATTCGATATGTTCCTTGTACCTTAGCAACTTGGAATCTTTAGATATCCCACTTTGAGTGGAAAAATGTAGGTTCCTTTTGTTTGTTTGTTCTTTTTTCTTTTTTCTTTTTTCCGAGAGAGAGAGAGAGAGAGAGAGAGAATAACGTTAGCTACATTTGATTGTACCTATTAATTTGTTTATGGGTCGTGGCATACTACACACACTACCGTTGGGAGTCTAAAATTTACCTCATTTCACCTAATAATTTTGTTTATTAATTGTGCCTATTAATTTGTTGTAGGTACATTTGATTTGTATTTAGGTTTTTTTTTTTTTTTTTTTTTTTTTTTTTTTTTATTTATAAATTAAACTCACACACACTACACAGATGTTAGGACTCGAATTCAAAATCTTTATTGGAGGGAGCATTTGCTTCAAATCATTACACTAGTGGATTCTTTGTAGAAATCTAAATATTTACTATTTCCTATATATAATTAGAATTGTATTACTCGATTGAATAATTACAATGTGTTTTACAAAACCCTAATTGATTTATTTTTATATCAAACAAAACCTAACCTAATTCTGACTTCCCATCTCTCTTTCCCTCAAGTACTTCTTAATTATAATCGGCCCTCCTATCGGTGAGATATAAACATGTACACAACTGGTTTTTTTTATTTATTATTTATGCGAACAGGTATACAACTGGTTATAAATAACCAAAAGTTCTTCTACTAAAATTAATACATTTGTTGACGAAGTCTATCCGAGTTGAAAATGACATTGATTTACACATAGGTGGTCTCAGTTATATAGTTATTGCAAATTCCCATACACTAAATTAGTGTTGCCACTAGCCTTATACACAACACATATAGGCTCTGTACACTGAACCAAATTCTATCTGTAATTATATTTGTATGTTAAAAGAAAGAGGAAAAAAATAGTGAGAGAGAGAGAAAAAGAAAAAAAAAAAAGGAAAGTAGGAAGAGCTAGTGGCAGTCAACCAGTTATTGACTTGAAACCTCATCTAAAAGCTTGTACCTTCTCACCTTGTTCCTAAAGACCTGCCTTGTAATGATCCCATTGTTTAAGTTTGATATCTCCTCTGACCTTGTCCTCCTAATCTTCTCGGCCTCCTTCTGCCCATTTGTGAGGATCCTCTTTCTGGTGGATGGAGATTTTGGAGATGGAGATGGAGATGGTGATCCAAAACCCTGATGGTTATGATGAAGATCAAGCGGTCTCTGTTTCTTTATAGGGCCACTTGGCTGCAGCTGCATGGTGCCCCTTAGACCCCCATATGAATTACCTCCATGCCCTTGCTTGTTCTGATGATCACTGGTTTTTGATGAGTTGGTTTTCTTGTTGATCTTGGCTGGGTCATGATCTTGGCCCTCTTTTCTGCATGAAGATGAAGAGTTTGAGGAATTTTGGGACTTTTCTTTTGTGTCCTCCTTCTGGGTAAGGCACCAATTGCAAATTCTGTAAGACTCTGCATTTGGGTAAAGATTGCTACAGTACCTGTACATGAAATTGGATCATAAAACTGTCAAAATTGAATTATAAATGAATTTTGATCATAACCCAAAATTTAAAAGAAATTAAAAACATATAAAAAGAGTAGTTTGTGTAATTTAGGACCTGTGCTGAGATCTGAATTGGCAAACCTTGCATTGGAAGAGCTCATAGGAGAAGCCAAAATCCCCACACATGCAGCACTCATGGGTTGGTTGGGCTGCTGCTGCTGCTGTGGTTCCTTTGCTGCTTGTCATCTTCTTGTTTTTGTTGTTCTGTTAATTTCTATTTTCATGCAGAGAGAGACAGAGAGAGAGAGAGAGAGAGAGGGATGAGGAAGAGAGAGAGAGAGAAGGGGGAAGGTGTGATGAAATAATAGAGATTTTGGTAGGCCGACGACCACACAACAAAAAGCCACAAAACATGTAAAGGGGTGTTTTATTGGGTTAAATAAATAATTATACATTATATAATGAGGAAATGAGGTTTTCCTTTTTACTTTGATTTGTTTGGGTCTGCGTGTTCTCGAGGTTCTTGCTCCTAATTTTTCTTTTTCGCATAAATAAATAAAAATTACGAAATTGCTTTTGTTTTCTTTTTATCTTCTTTAGAAATGAAAGTCATTTTCCAGAATTAACAATAAACGTTGAAAAGAAAAAAAGCAAAAAAAGTCATAGAGAGGTAAAATATGATTTTTTTTTTAACGTGGGAAAGGCTTTACTTTCACAAGGCTCCTCCGTTCTGTCACACAACCAATAATTGCCTGACACTTGTCATTCAGTGAAAATTATAATTTGGGCTTGTTTTTAGTTACCTTTTCTGGATTCCGCGGTTAAAAGCCTCTGCATCGAATCCATGCGAGGGATAATTGTTTTTGGATTACATTTGGGATGAGATTACAATCAACCTCACTTTCTCGGCTAACGGTAAACAAGTCTCATATACAAGTCGGACTGGTTAGTACTGGAGGATAAGTTGGTATTTCACATGTATAATATCATGAATATTTATAATACGTGGACGAATTATACTATTTTACTGCATTAATTTTTCTACACTTCAATTATAATGTGTGGACAAATTATACTTCATGACAAGACTTACTTTAGAAATTTTGTCCCAAACACATGACTAAATTATATTCATACCAAAATCAAATTTGGCATGGCATCTTTCATTTTAGGAATTGTTGTCATTAATTTCTTGCTATATAAGAATCAAATACATTGTTGATACTATGTCAGTTTTAAATTCAAAACACGTAAGAAGTGATGTTAATAATATTTCTCTTTTTAACTTTAAATGAGATTCTGAGTTCAAATTTTATCGTATTAAAAAGATGAAGATGGTGGTGGTGATAGAAAGGGTGTAGATTGATTAGCTTCTGGAGGAAATGGGGTTGAAAATGAAAAGGGCAGTTGAATGAGATATAAAGTTAACAGATTCTTGGGTGGTATATGAAGAAAGCTCAATACAATATATAATGAATTCGATCTGGAAGACTGCTGCAGACACTCAACGTTGTCCAGCTGTTATGAAGCATTTAACAATCTATATGAGTGCTGCTCCTTAGGGGAGGATGACACACGCTCAAAGTTAAATAGATGGTCAAACTAAAACTGCTTTTTAAAATTGTTCAAACCAAATGCATGGTCGGCTCAAATACTACCTGAAAAAAGAAGAAGCAATTAATTATATCTAAATTATATTCTATCATGAACATTGAACTCCATTATTGAATTCTTCTTCATTCTTCTGCTGAAATAAAATTCTGGTAGCTACAGATAGTAATCTAGGGTCAAGGTGGGCAAAGAATTTGAGGTCGTTGAGGTTTTAACCCTAAAATTAATTGGCAATAAGTCTCAACTCTTTATAATGATTATAAGCTCTCTTGTAAAGTCTCTTAATATTTTGAAGTGAGATAACTTTTCACATTCTCAGAGCATCTCCAAGGGAGATGTCAAATACCAAACATCAAATTTAAATTTGATGGCTAATATGGCAATTTGACATTTACACAGTTTTACACTCCACCCGATATGTCAAATAAATAATTATTGTAACAGTCAAATCATTTAAGATAAAGAAGAAGAAAAATAAAAAAATGAAAATAAAAAATGAAAGTAACAGTCAACTATCTTTTAAAAATAATAAAATATTCATTTGACATCTTGCTTTTGGGATGTCAAAAATAACATCTCAACCTCCAGCCTTCATTCCACATCAGCTTTGACACATCGGTTGGAGTGATGTGAGATGTTATTTTTAGCCGTTAAATGTCTATGTGGCACTTTTGACACATCGGTTGGAGATGCTCTCATACACTCCTAATATATGACGGAATTTTAAACCTAACACATGAATAATTTAACTGAATGACGTTAAACACGTGTGATTATTGTGCTTAACACATATGCAATCCAAACTATGATATCATCATACCATAAATATAAAAAAGTTAAAATTCCAACCCCAAAATTAATTGACAATTTGAGTTTATACAAGATAGATCATATAATCCACAATCTCCCTATAGCCCCTCAAAAATTCGGAAGTAAATTTTTGGACGGAAAAAAAAACTAGAAGTAGGTGTATAGATGAATTATATGAGCACATGGTTTGGCATTGCTAGAACACAACCTTTAGTGGACCACGCACTGCATTGGGGGGGATGATACTTGAGCTTCATGGAATCTAAATACACATCAAATTGTCACTCTCCTGGTCCCCCTTGTGATAAATACATAATTCTTTAGCTGTGCATTATTCAATTCAATAATATATATACACACACACACATATGCATACATAACACACCGACTTTTGCAAGTGAACAGTCATTCTGGCTCTGTCATGTTATGCACGTGTTTGTTTTTACAAAAAGAAAAGAAATAGGTTTAACAACTCGAATAATACGCCTACAAAACCAAGTGCCAACCATGCCCTGGCAAATCATATCTGATGATTGTCATGAATCTGTCTTCATATAAAAATATAGTACCCGAAAATATAGTAAATTTAGGTTTTAGCCACAAAAAAAATTTTCACTTTTGGAAAAAGCCAAAACTTTTCTCAAAAAGACAGAAAAACCCATTAACTTTCAAATCAAAGACATGCAAATATAAAAGATTCCTTAAGAAATCAAAAAAATAAATAAATGCATTTTTGTCCATTTTGGCTTCTTTTAAAAATATTTCTCTCCTTCGGCTTCAAAGTCATCTTTGAAAGATGATTCATGTAAAAGCTCAACCAAAATGAAAATGTTTAATCATTTTATTAATACTGCAATAATTCAATGTTTAATAGACGAATGAATGAGTTTTTGATTTGACTGATTTGTTGCAGAGATGATTTTTAAATGCTGGTCGAAAATATAAATGGTTATGATAAAAATGATGAGAACATAATGAGAGAGTGTTGAAGGGGAAGATAAAAAGATAAATGTAAATAGCATTCGTCACATGGTTAACTTGGAAGTGAAGTGACCCCATGGTCAAGTAAGACGTGAAGAGTGAGTGAAGACATGTAATAGTAAGGGAGATTCACAGAGACTCAAATTATAAACTAATCCTATTTGGTGGCTGCTGATGGAATAAGTATCGTGCTACTACCAGCACAATACTCTGTCCTTGGTTTGTTCACAGTCGTTGTAATTAAAACATGTTTGGCCGACAATATTACTCGGGAGTATCCAAAACATGATTTTAGGGTTTTGCAGTCAAAACCATAGGCATTACAATAATGAAGTGCATTTACATTACACAAACCACCATTATTCAATTCAAAGTGACAACGTAGGAACACTAGACAGCTGTAGGTGCATAAACTACATCCACCAAATCCAGCAAAAGGTAGCCAACATCGATGTTAAATTGCCATTCGTTCATCTGCTTTATATTTTTCTTTTACTTTTTCATTTTATACCAGCGATATTGAGGAAGGAAGTACCTCAAATGTAAGCGTAAATACTCTTAACCGCTTGGGCTGCAAGTACTTTTACTATTTTAACTCTTTTTTCTCTAAAGTTTGGAACAATGGGGCAATGAATCAAAACTAGGGTTGAAATTTCCGATCTCTCATAAGTTGTCTGGTACTGTGGTGATAGGTTTTGATATTTGCTCTATAAAGAAGAGATAAATGATTAATAGCTCTATTATTCACATAAAATGTTTTTGGAAAGAAAAAAAAAGCAACATTACTGGTGACTTTCCCTCATAAGCATCAAATATATATTAGCTCGTAAGACATGAGGAGTTTTCCCTTTCTAACTTTGTACACGAAAAAACGAAAAACGATAAACAAAATGAAGAGCATTCTCAACTATACACAGTGATGTTCTGAACAATATATCAGCAAGGCAAATTGGACGGGATAACAACAAATTATATTGGGTAAAACTTTACGGTTGAAAACTGGATAATAACACCTCTCTTTTCGACATATTTACGGGAGCCCATAAGACTTTATATGTCCTGCAAGATTTCTGCCACCAGCAATAACAGTTGACCAACTTCTGGCACTACAGAGAACATAAACCTCATTGCCCTGTTTACAATTGATCGTAATTTATCTGCAATAACAGAGAACCAAAAAAATCAGAGCCAGAATCATATGCATCTTGTTAAAAAATCCATACCCTCATCCTCCAACGTGCAAACTAGTTTTGTTATTGGCCAAAAACCTAAGCAATGAGATTTCCCAGTAGACCACTTTAATCTCAATCAAATATAACCAAAATCCTCAAACACAATTGGTAAAGTTGAGGCAAGTTATGAAAGCTTGTCCTATATTTTACACACAAAATGGCTATAAGTAATTTTCATAATTTAACAAATGGAGCCTAAAGGAATTTGAGGAAGGATTCAGACATGATCATTACCTCCATGCTTCGGTTAGACCATGTCAGCTTTGAGCGCACTCAAATGGGTGCAAGCTTCCTTCAGCAAACTCATGTATACGAAAATGCTCCAGAATTTCAGAACGGCTGTACCTAACATAAATGGCATTAGTCATTGGATGAAAGAGAGGATTTCAACACCATGGGATCAACAACACATATAATCTGAAATGAAACTGTGGATTAGACTAGTTAAAAGATCTAAAATTCCATGTGCACAATCGTGGATTCATTTTTCTCCCAGGACATGTATGTATTAATCTCACAGTTTGAAGCACGTCTTATACATGTCGAGACTAACTTTGGGAATTTCAGGTTTGAATGGGAAACCAGAGCACTCAGCAAGAACATGGGCTTGAA